CGTATAAATAATTCTGAAAGACCATCTTTCGTCATAAAGTGAACTGATGAAACTGAATTAAGCAATAGTTATGAAATGCGATCAATCATCATCATCACTGATTAATGAATGCCCAAAAATTAAAATTTCTCACCAGACAACTTGCAGCATGCTTTTGCTCAACTGTTATTGTATTGCTGAACGAATCATTCTCACAATCACAACGCAGCGATAACCAACGCGACAATTGATAAACTGATAACGACAGCAGCTCCGCATACTTCACGTTTCATGCTGATAATTTATATCATACACAGATATGTATTATGTTCGTTTTGCTTGCGTTTCAATCTCTTCCCAGTAATTTATATCACAGATATGCATTATTTTACATTCGTTATCCGATAATATTATTACTCGTAATCTGATTTATTGTGTGTGCTCACTTGATGAGCGCATTCTTACGCTTAGATTCATACATAAGAATTTATGAAAACATGCGGTTATATTTCGTTCGACTAATTCTTATTTACCAATCACGAATAAATAAAAGTTAATAAAGTACCTTTGCAATCGAATAATTCCAAGAATTATACCCTTCCCACAATCTCAACGCCATTTTGATTATCCTTATAGCATTCATAGATAATATGCGTTATAATACGAGTACACATTCAAAGTATGTGTACATACTCATGATTATTCCAATCTGTTCAAGTTTATTCGAATTGTTTAGCTGAGCAAGTCGTTAGTGATCAGCACTAAGGTTTGCATGGGATCCCGAGATCCCCGGATTTGAGTCCTGATCTCGATCCCGGGATTCGAGTTTTGAAATTTCCCGGGACCTCGAGATTTGATAAAGTAGGTCAATTTGTATGAATTTTGACAGCATGCTCATCTTGAAGCAAGCCTTAACCATTCTCAGCTCATTCATATGCAATCATCTTTGTTGATTGCCACCTATCATTGATGAATAGTCAAGGAAATAGATGGAAGTCAGTCGAATGGCATGATGAACTTGATGAACCTTTGCGTAACATTTCATTGAACATTCAACTGATTGTTCTGCTCTCCATTAGTTTATGTGACACTCATCTGGATGCATTTCCGTGCAGACAAACGGAAATAATCACATTTTTTAATGATAACCAAGGGCAACGAAATTCAATGGAATTCTGAGTTTTTTCCTTCCACACAATTTATTCGGCTTCAATATTCCATCTGTTAATTGAACTGCATGTTTTAAAGATTTTAAGTCTCTTTATTTCGCTATTTGGAATCGTTTTCGCTCGATCGAAATGTACACAAAATTTCACTGAGATTACTCATAGTGAGAATTCACTGTTGAAAGGAGTGAAATTGTTCCATTCAAAAGGATCTCAAGCTTGAATATCAAGTACATTTCAATGATTTCTGATCGAAATTACTAAATATGTAAGTGCTCGATAGTTTGATGAAAATCCATTGCGGATGTTTTTTTTTGCTTTTTAGATAAGCTCTGAACTTTTAGTTTTTGCAGAATTCAAATGATTTAATTTATGCGATGTATATCTGTCGTGAAAAATCGAAATTTCCGAAATGCCAAAATTCAGCTGATTCTAACACTCGATCGTGAAAGAAAATGGACTTGAAGCATTGCAAATAGGTGTTTGAGTATCAAGAACTTCATATTCACATGCGAGTGAACTCTCATTAGCTTAGACCCGAGGTGACAAGATGCCTGACAATGAGCATAGAAAATGTAGTATACTTTGCGGCATGATCATCAGTATCATTATATGAAATATTAATTTGAATTTGAATAATTTGTTTCGTTGTATCTGTTGAATAATTTGTTAGACTAACTCCTTTCTGATTAATTATGAACATATTGGTTCAAAAAATGTGTTTAAACATGTCACGCCTCGATATTCCAAAAGTCGTAAAATCGATCCCGGGATTAAATCGCGATCCCGGGATTGAAAAAAATGCCGGGATTTTGCAAATCCTAATCAGCACTCTTAATTTATTCAAACGAACGAATCCGTTTTATCCATTTATTTTACACCTCAGCTTTCAGTATCGATCATGAAGACTGATGATGACAATGAAGCACAAGGAAAATTTAAATGCACTCTGAATCCATCTTCCATTGAGTGTTCCAAAACGATCGGAAGGTAATTGTTAGGTATTATTACCACCTTATTCCTACAAATAACAACTAATCCGTCTCCCTCGTCCTCAATAGATCACTCCCTCAAAAAATTCGTCTCACTTAAATACTCAATTCTTACACGCGTTGTGACAAGACGTTTAAACTGATACTCGAAACTGAATCGTATAAAGCATCACTTCCACTATGAAAGCCAGTATATTTATCATTAGAACATTGAAATAAATAAATTATGCACACAATCAACCATGAATGTGATATAACTGCTCTTTGAAGATACAATTATTGCATGAGGAGAAGGAGCATTATTTATCTAATGAATGGATCATTTAAGAGGATCATTCGGTTTAGTGAAACGTGCAACGTTAGCCTTGCACAGTCAACGAATAAACGTAGCGGTAAAAATATTGAGTGATTCTTATGTCAAACGTGAAAAAGAGGCTGTCGCAAATGAAGTTAGTAGAAGAGTTTATTCGATGATTTATTTTATCTTATCTGAGTTGCGAGTATCTGCTAAATATTGTTGAAGGGTCGGTTGTTTCTTGTTGAGCGGAAAAGAACAAGAGACAGATGAATGATAATGATAGTGATAAGAATAATGACAGCGATGACTTGAATTTAACAGAGATGTTTATAAACTCATCACGAGTTATTTTGTAGTTTTGATTGGTAGTGACTGAACACTGACTGGATAAATCAAAGTGAAGGTTCACACTCAATTTCAGCTTCGAATATTACGTGATTTTGAACATATTAATATAGTCAAGCTATATGGTTGCTTCAAGAATGGGGACGCAGATCCAGGAATAGGAATCGTTCTTGAGCTGATGTCATGCTCATTGGAAGATCGTTAGTTGTCTTTACTTTCTGCACGAAACGACAATAACTGCTATCAGCAAATGTATATAATTTTACAACATATTTGCAGTTTTGTATACATTTTCATACGTTCAATATAAATGCTCACAAGTTGTCGAATGGATGTTACAATGTTCAAAGGCTATTGCATATTTACATGATAACGCCACAGTTCATCGTGATCTAAAACCAGCCAAGTTAGTTTGCTTGTTTCTTAACTTCTGACCAAACGGCTTCAGCTGATCAAAAAATTTCGACGAATCCGAATGCACGAGTCTAGTTCTCTGAACAAAACCAATTATGAATGAGAAACTTCAATTTCATAAGCCCATTTTCTTTTCAAGTTTGCTACTCAATCAGACGTTTCGCATACTAAAGGTTTCTGATTTCGGTACGGCACGTCTCATAGACCCCATAATGTCTTGCAGAGGAACCAGCTCTTATATGGCACCCGAGGTTAGTGTCGATCGTTCATATTAAGGTTGGGTCGGGGGCGAAATCGGACTCGGGGTCTCCGAGGGCTGGGGATGGGGGACTCGAGACCTCGTGAGTGTTGTAGTTTCCGAGAACATGGGATAGCGTTGGAGGTCCCCAGAATAACAAAATGCTCAGAGGGCCCCCGAACCCAGCTCTTGGAATCTCTCGAATCTCGGCGTTGTCAA